GGGGAGTGACCAACGGGCAGACGAGACACGAGCACTTACAAAGAGTAAGTACAAAGAGTAAAAACACCTAAACACCTCTTTACCGAATTGCGTAGATGACCACTATCTTTCTTTCATCTCTTTTGATAAATTTTCAGTCTTCTGTGTGCCTGTGTGCTAGATCACAGCTAGAGCCCTGCATTTCAGCCCGGGCCCCATAGGCCCCGACGTTTTTACACCCCTCAGGCGGGGCTTCGGGACAATTTTCACATCATAGTTCAGACGCGGCCTGGTTTAGGCTTCTCCTTATCTTTATATTTTAGACATCCATCAATTAGCGATTAAAAAATTGCCACGCTGGTGGAAACAACAGGAGACAGTGCTACTGCGACTGTCAAGAGCGGCTCGACGGTGTTTAGTGTCCAGCAGCAGCATGTATGGAGTGTGCCGTCAGCACAGCTGAACAGTTCTGCGTTCAAATGCAAGCAATAGGCTTAAGCTTACCGCAAAACGTAGATATTTGAATTATTTACTAATAAACTAGTGTTTTCTGAGTCGGTGTCACGAGGATGACGTTGCCGATCCTGTTTTTGATTTGTTTTGATTTTATTTCGTTAAATAGTCATTTAAAGCTTTCTATAGATATATTTATCATGTCTGTGAGACATTCGCTGAGTTTCGATTCATTTTTGTGAAGCGCTCCTGTTGAAGACGAGACTGCAGAAAGCGCATCATGTTTGTTTTCTTTATTTAATAAAAGCACAACGTTTTGTTGATATTGTGAGTGCACACAAATAAAAGTAAATCCTTTACAGTTACGAATGATGTTACTCTTACCTTTATGAGCAAAAATGAGGGCGTATCCACTGAAAAATTGCAAGCGATCTCGCTGGCGCCTCCATGTCCTGCAAAGCGCGCTTCAGATTCCACTCTCCGCACAAACTATTGGATTTGGCACACATTTATCTAGGTTTAACGTTTAAACATTGTTATATGCTTGAACTGTTTTATATCTATAGATTTTATTTTAGTCAAGCCATGATGATTTGAGAAGGCTAAATTGATCAAACATAGGCTCACTGTCTGCGGCGTTTGGTCGTTACTTTAAACTCCGCACAAACTATTGGATTTGGCACACATTTATCTAGGTTTAACGTTTAAACATTGTTATATGCTTGAACTGTTTTATATCTATAGATTTTATTTGAGTCAAGCCATGATGATTTGAGAAGGCTAAATTGATCAAACATAGGCTCACTGTCTGCGGCTGGCCGTTTGGTCGTTACTTTAAAAAAACCTCAAACTTATATTTAACGAACAAAAAATGCTCCAAACGTTTTTCTAAATTAACTTAATAAAAAAACGAAACGAAATGTAATCACTTTACATTACATACAAAACTAAACTATTATTATTATTATATAGCTGGAACAGTAGTTTACTGTAGGCTGTTTTGGGAGAAGGGTGAAAAAAGACGGGCTGGAGCCGTAATTCTGATGAGCTGTCGGACAAGGGCCGGGCTAGGGCCTGAGCGTCTCTTCTTCTTCTTCTGATGTTTAATGGCGGTTGGCACACCAGCTTTTGGTGCATATTCTGCCACCTACTGGGAAGGAGTGTGAGGTGCTGATGTCAAGGGAAATGCTAATTCTCAAAAAAAAAAAAACTTATACCTATATTTTATTATATAAATTTTTTATTTTCAGAAAATTAATAAGAGCTTTATAACCTTTATGAGAACTGTTTAACACATTCTGTAATGTCATAGAATTAATGCTGTCAGATTTTAATTCCTCTTTTAACTCGATTCTTTCCCTTTCATATGCCCTACAGTTAATCAGCACATGCTCTACAGTTTCTGGAAGTCCACAATGATTACATTGACCAGATTCATGTCTTCCTATCATCTGGAGTGATTTATTAAGAGTAGAGTGTCCAATTCTCAATCGAGATATAACTGTATCATCCCTTCTATTACCATAAGCAGTTCTTACTTGTCCTACTTGTTTATTTATATTATACAAATGTCGCCCTTTGTTACCTTTATCCCATCTCTCTTGCCATATCTTTCTGACAGCTACTTTAATTAAACCTTTAATTTCAGATTTACTCAAGATTTGTGTGTCAATATTTGTGTGCTTAAGAGCCTGTTTCACTATCTTGTCTACCTCCTCATTCCCTTCCACTCCAACATGAGCAGGCACCCATACAAATTCTGCTAGAATTCTCAGTTGCTGTATTCGGTACAAACTTTGCAGTACTTCTAATAAAATATCTTGTCTAGATTCTGATTTTCCACTCAGTATACTTGTGAGTGCAGAATATGAATCTGAACAGATTACCACTGTTGTTGGTTGGATTTCTTCCACCCACTGTAAAGCTATCTGAATAGCGATCATCTCTGCTGCATATACTGATATATTATTAGAAGTTCTTTTTGCAGATTTATATTTGAGGAATATACATGGCAGCACTTGTACGCCAGGCCGGGCTATTTGAGGCCCGTGCAGCCGGTGGAGGGCTCTAATCAGAGCAAGTTTCTTATTCTCCTCACAACTGAGAAACTTATTTTTGATGTAGCCGAACAACTGGGCAGTGCGAGTGCAAGCTACAATGGTCTGAAAAAGTTTGGATATTTGTCCTTCCGTAGCCTAGACTACTTCATCTTTAAGTTTCTCAAGAGTGATCGGCGATGCGATCGCACATTTCACAAGATCCACTTCAGCTGTCACAAGCTGCGTACATGCTTAGTAGAGGACTTATGCCGTTTTTCTCACAACTGAATACTGCGTCACACGCCACACTCGAGGCCAACGCTTCAGCAATGACTCAGTCCACCACGCCTATGCTCATAATGTAATTCACACCTCAGCTGTAATCACAACAGATCTGCAAAACAGTTGTTTTCAAACAGGTTTCTCAAACTATTGGTTAGAAAGGCAGATAGCCTCGCCCCAAACTCAGTGTTGATTGTGTCAATATTGCTCTTTTAGACTGGTTGTAATGCTTAAGAGTACTGTTTTGACACTGCCACAAAACTTCATTGAAAAACTGGACAAGTAGCCTATGTCTCCCAGCTCAGTAGGGATAAGACACAATTGCACAAAACAGCTTCAAAATGTACTCATGAAAGAAAAAGTAAAAAAGGATGAAGATTGAGTGAAAGAAAGAAAGAGAGTGAGTAAGTGAAAGAAAAAAACAATTAATGGTCTGTTTGTCATGGGTGGAGGCTTACCTGTCCTGTTTGTCCAGCTGCTTTGCCTTTAAACAAATTAGGCCTACCCATGTTGAAACAAAAATACTATTGCGTTTTAAAGGGATTGTCTCCAAACCAAACTAAAGTCTCTGTCAAATTGGGTAAATCTGAACTACTTTTCTCACTTCTTTCTTTTAAAATTTACATAGTTTAAGTATTTACATGCTAATGTTTTTGTGTTAAAACAAAGGGGGGTTTTGCTTTTATCACTTCTGAAACATTTAGGCTATTTCTCTTCAAGCGCCCATATACTTTATTTACATATCTATTTTTATTATAAAAAGCAGTTAGCCCGAGATTGGCTTAACTGTCTCCTAGTATAGAGCGGAAACCACTAATCATGTGTTGATGTGTGGCTGAATGTGAACAGCTTGGTCGCAAACAGTGGACTACATTGATATTTACAAACCTACAGGGTCGCCTTGCTTTTGTTTAGCAAATATGGAACCAAATCGCGGTCTTGAAGTATACAAAACCACACATTCGCTACAATAGACTGCAGAAGAACCAATTCAAATTGCCCCGCCATTTTAGGTGGTGAAAAACAAGCCCCTTCCCTGAAGCTTTTTCTGGCGCCATATCAACACGCGTTCAACTCTCGGCGCGCCTCCCGCCATTTCAGTCTCACTAACCTCTCATTGTTTGATATTGGAGCCATTCGTGACGTTATTTAAACACTTTAACCATAAGCTTTATGTGTGTTTGACAATTAAAAAACAACGCAATTACTTGTATGTTTGATAACTGATGCTATACACAATAATCCAAAATTTACGAATGTAAATCCATTCAATTATTTAACTACCGTTTACCAACGTTTGTGTCTGTCACGTGGCTTTCGTTTGTGATAAGTCTGTGCAAGTTTGACAATTAAAAAACAACGCAATTACTTGTATGTTTGATAACGGATGCTATACACAATAATCCAAAATTTACGAATGTAAATCCATTCAATTATTTAACTACCGTTTACCAACGTTTGTGTCTGTCACGTGGCTTTCGTTTGTGATAAGTCTGTGCAATGTGCATCACTTCCCCTATTACTTGTATTGACAGTTCATTTAATAAGATTAAGTAAAAAGTTAATCATGTTCTGCGTTAAAAAGGAAGGTTGTCCAAATGAACATGCTACCCAAACACTCAAAAAGTACTTGTATAACTTTGTGTTACTTTTATTTATTTATCATTTCACGTATAATTTAATCGAAATGTTAAAAATAGGGTTTATGTGTTTTTAACAGAAAACAATGTATTTAACTGAAATGGATATTTCAAAACTGTGCATTAAAAAAATCGCGATTTCCCGTTCTTGGCATCAGAGTCACCGGGTTACGAATTAAACAACTGGCCACACGGCAGGTCAGTTCAAACTTATTTCACATCTGTATCTTGACGAGAAAATACCGTTGTCACCGAAAAACAACCACGTATAATTTAATCGAAATGTTAAAAATAGGGTTTATGTGTTTTTAACAGAAAACAATGTATTTAACTGAAATGGATATTTTAAAACTGCATTAAAAAAATCGCGATTTCCCGTTCTTGGCATCAGAGTCACCGGGTTATGAATTAAACAACTGGCCACACGGCAGGTCAGTTCAAACTTATTTCACATCTGTATCTTGACGAGAAAATACCGTTGTCACCGAAAAACAAGACGCTATTTCGTACGTGAGAAATCTTAGCTAGCTAGCCAATGCAGTATAGGACCTCCTACTTTGGATTGTACAGGCCAATCCTTGTAGCACAATGCATATGTTGGGGGAAGGAAGGCACTGGGGTAGATTGGGGATTACATTGTAGACTGGGGAGTAGCGAGGTATCGGTACCAAGGTACAAATAAGGTAGGACATATTTGATGTTTTTAAAAGCACGTTTCGATTTGTCATATTTTGTGAAGAGTTACGATTATACTGAAACAGAAACCATTCTTATGTTTCACGGTCCCATAGTTTAGCTGTATCTGAGCGACCATTACAGCTACACAAAGACACTAACAAAGGCAACCGGTCTTAATAAAATGAGAACACGGTTAAGGTTTATAAATGGAAAGGGGTTTACTAAATTGTCGTTATTAGCAAACATGTTTTTTGTGCTGCATGTTAGCCGATTACATCTGGGTTAGAGGACTAAAATCACGCAAATTAAATAACATTTCAATTTCGTTAGCCTTAATCCAATTGTTTTGAAAAGGTCCCAAAAGACGGTAAGGGTCACTGACAAAATTATAAAATAATCGCATGCTATACAATTCGATTATGTCACCCCCCCCCCCAATAAATCAACTGCTACATATCTAAATGCATGCCACCGGGTTGTTTCTTATACGTGTTTATTTCGTTACTTTCATTAGATTTCGTGCGCTCATTGTTTGAGGTCCATGGTGTATCAAACTGGTGTCACCGGTTAATCCTGTAGAAGTGAAAGCTACATTTAAGCGTGCGGTATTCGCGGCAAAAATTACCCCGCGAGATTTTCGTGTACTGGGGAGGAGTTGTTTAAATCTGCACACTGACGCAAGAGAGAGGCTGTAGTCTTTTTAGTTTTGAGGAAGTCCAACATTAACCAGATTAGGCTCAGTAGACTTCAGAATACAAATATTTATTAAATATTATGCCGTTTAGATTAACCTCAAAACGTATCTCACATGCAACATGATATAATTCATATGCTTCTGAGATTTTCACATTATACATCTCGTACATATCTAAGAGTAACTTAAATTACTTCAATTAAAACTAAAAGAGTCACATAAACAGTATGTAGCATAGTATATATAATGTCACATAAATATATGTATGTGTGCATAGTTCCCTAGTAACTGGTCTACTGTTGTTGTTTTTTCCCAAATGTGCAATGTAATTAATTACCTTTGTTTGTGATTTATTGCTTCTAATTGCTGTTTCACATGCATTGTTATTTTTCTTATGAAAGCATAAGATGGCTATGAATGTTAGTCTGGACCCCAATAACCCTGATGACAAGTGCAGTCGCTATGAAGTTTTGTCCTGGATCAATGAAACATTACAGACTAATTTTACTCAAGTGGAGCAATGTCGTTCAGGTACTGTTGAATTTTTTTGTTTGTTACTATCTACACATTGCCAACAGCTTTAAACTGAATTTACACAAGTCTTTCTTTTTTTTCTTTTTTTTAATAGGTGCATGTTTTTGCCAGTTTATGGACTTGCTCTTCCCAGGGTCCATCGACATGAGCAAAGTAAAGTTTGAGTCCCAAAAGAGGTCTGATTTTAAACAGAACTACAGTCTTCTGCAGACAGCTTTCCGAAAATCAGGCATAAAACAGGTCAGATTAACCTGAATCTATTCTTTTAATCTCATGAATCCTCTTGCATATAAAAATATAAATGTTGAAGTTGAAATGTGTAAGTTTGGTTATATTTCTTAGGATGTTGTTATTCTGTTTAGTCCAACAAGTGCTACAGAAACTACACTCTAGATATTTAAATGTGAATCTTGTATAATTTGAGATGTTTGTCAACTCTTCACAGTACTTTTTTTTTTCTCAATTTTTGATGCCTCTTTCAGCCAGTCCCTGTGAAGCAACTTCTCACAGGAAAGTTTAGACCCAATTTCACCTTTCTGAAATGGTTCAGGAAATTTTTCTTTGCCAATGAGAGACAAAGGAGAGAGTACAAACCAGTTGAAGCTCGTAATGGTCAGGATATTGTACAGGTAGATGAACCTGTTAAGTCTCCAAGATCCTGGAAAAATCCACGTGAATCTGGTGAGCCTCCATTTTTATCCATTCAGTTTTTATTTTTATTTTTTTATTTTTTTAGTATGGTGAATTTGACTTTTATTTGATTCATTTTCCCCACAATAAGGGAACATGTTCAAATATGCCCCAATACAATCCTGGAAAAATCCACGTGAATCTGGTGAGCCTCCATTTTTATCCATTCAGTTTTTATTTTTATTTTTTATTTTTTTAGTATGGTGAATTTGACTTTTATTTGATTCATTTTCCCCACAATAAGGGAACATGTTCAAATATGCCCCAATACATCATAGGGATGTATCGATTACCGGTTTGACGATAAATCATGATAAAATTCCCTACGGTTAGTATTACCGTTACATCTTTTAATTATCATTAAAACCGTATTAGATTACCGCGATTTGAACAACTCGCGATAAATAAATACTGTCCACCATAAAGCACAGTTTTCAGTAACAGTCTCACTTGCGTACAGCACGCAGAGTAGTTTAGTTTTGAGTGAAAACAGGGCGGAAAAGCTGGGAGGTTTTAAAAGAGTGCTAAGGTAATTATACAAATAAATATATGAATGAATTAATTATATGACTGTACCTCTGAAGGTTCTGACTGTCTTCAGAAATGATTCGATGGCATTTTGTTTTCATCTTCGCTCCATGTAAACCCTAAAGGAAGTGTTCTTAATCGTAATACTGCTTTGTCCACTGAGGTTACGGAAACAGCTCTAATTCAACTTTTCCATAAGCGCCACCTGCTGTCAGCGAGTGGATTTACAGAGACTTATATTTACATTCAGCCTGTGTGCAGTTTCTGTCTAGCCAAAAACGGACTGAATTTGCATGCCCTGCTGTAAATTTTGACCGGTTGATGAAAAACAAGCTTATGTGAATTCTACACATTTTAAACAATTCAGATAAGTTATCTAAAATTATTTATGGAGCAGATAACATACATAAAATCATTTATTAATCAATTGTCATTTTGACATATCTTTTCTTTATTTAAAGGCTGAAATGTGAGGTTTACCTTTTTATGAAACTTTTTCAAAGCTTTATTTGAACATTTACATTAGATATTTCAACATGCTATTAAACTGTTGTCATTTAAAATCCGAACATCATTGGTAATGTTATTGTTTTAGGGATTATGCAAACAAAAAGTCATTTTATTTGTTGTTTGTTTATTTTTAATTATAAAACTTGGTGAAGTGATTTATGTGTCGGTACTTTTTTAACATCGCCAGCACATTTTAACAATACCGAGATGATACTGATAACCGTGATCATTTTGGTCACTATAATAGTGAAAAGAAATGTTCATACCGTTACATCCCTAATACATCAATAGTACTGGGAAATCAGTTCATCATTGAAATAAATATAATATTCCATCACAACACTAATGTAACTTGTTTTCCATTTTATACAGGCAGAGTAAGAGACGAGTCTGACAAAGACATGGAATTGAATGGAAGGAGACAACCTGTGTCTTACGATTCTAAATGGGAAAGAAACTTCAAGTGGATCAGAGCCAGCCATATGGGAGACAACTGTGCTTACTGCACTTTGTGTGACTACAATATCATTCTACATGCAGGTTTTTTCGATCTGAAGCGACACCAACAGACTCAGAAGCATATGAAGCGTGAGATGGGAGGATTAAATTCATCTGGCAGAAAAAAGATTGAAAACTCTATTTCCTATAGTGAAACCATGCTTCTTTTCATTCAAAACCATTGCCTCTCCAGTTTACCCTCAAGGATCAACAAGGTCTCCCAACGTACTGCAAGCTACATCCTCGGCCTGAATTATCCAAATGATATTGTTTCTGCTTGTAAGATGAATCCCTATTGTATGTATATATATGGGCAGGTACTGCTTGATGCAGAAAGCAGAGAAAGAACCTCCTGCCATGTGGTGCTAGTGGGCTTTTTTGAGGAAAAGCGAGCAAGATATTGTATCCGTCTCCTTGATGTCTTTCAGGCTGAAGATGGTAGCTCTGTATCTGGATGTTTACTCAATGTCCTTCAAAAGTTTGAGCTTCCTGCTGGCAACATGGTAGCTTTCTACGTTAATGACCAGGAACAGACCTCAGGAAGTGTTGTGTCGCAGATTCAGGAGCTCAACCCACAGGTGATTGATCTCGGGGGACTTTACAGCGTACCTGACTCTGCCTGCAGTGCTGGCCTACAAGCTCACTCCAGTCAGGTTCAGGAACTTATAGCCAGCATCTATGAACACTTCTCAGCTTGTTCCACCAGCAACGACAACCTCAAGATGCTGTTTGCGGGCATTGAAGGAATAAAAGACACCAGCGCTCCCCTCTCACACAGTTGTGAGGAGTTTTGTGTGCTCGTTCAAAGGATGCTTGAAATGTGGAGTGATTTGGTATCATACTTCACTTCCTGTGATGAAAATAATGATAAAGCTAAGCAAATTTGTTCGCAGTTGGAGAATCCTAAAGTTAGGATCACCTTGATGTTTCTGGATCATGCTCTTGGACCACTCCGTGCCTTCAAGCAGCACCTGCAACAAAGCAAAGGCTCAGTTCGTGCCGATCTTGTCCAGATCCTTCGAGAAGCAAGTGGACTCCTACGTTCGTATGCCTCCAGCTTTCTTCGCCCTCAAGCGGTCATACGCTACCTGAAGGAACGAGACCCAGCCATCCTGGAGAACTCAACATTCTGCCTTCCTGCTACTGAGCTCAGTTTGGGTGGTGTGGTGGAAGACTTCATCTCTGCCAGAGAAGAAGAGCTAGCAGATTCCATTAATGTGTTTCATGATGAGTGTTTAGCTTTCTACAAAACTCTTACGACCTCCATCGCTGACAGTCTACCTCTGAGCGATAGTGTCCTGAGGGGCATTTCACAGCTCCTCAGCCCAGCCGGAAGATTGAAGGTCACAGGAAAGAGTATAGTTGACCTTGCTGTACAATTTGGCATCTGCTCTGAACCTGAGGATTCTGCTAAGCTCACGGATGAGTTCTTGGAGTACCAGCTTGTGGAGGATGAAGAAGACACACCTTCAACCCTTCCTCTGGAGCGATACTGGTGTAATGTGCTCAAGACTTTTCCACCAGAATCCATCTTCAAGAGACTTGTCCTCTGTTTTTTGATTTTGCCCTGTCCATCTCTTGAAGCAGAAAAGATCTTTGCACAGGTATGAAGTACATGCTATCTATCTATCGTTCTATCTTATTTAATATTGTCATGTGTTTAAAATGGGTTTACTTGCTCGCAGGCTGTTGAAAATGGAGATGTTGCTCATTGGGATGATAGTTCAGAGGAAAGTGACACAGATTTGACAAAAGAGCTGGATTCCAATGATGACTCTTCTCTAGACCACACTGAAGTCAAGATTTCACCTATCAGAAATGGGCAAATGAAAAAAAACAGAGGTAGCACATCAGGTAAGTTATCCTAAAGGCCTGCTTGCTTTTAAAAAAAAATTAAAATGGCAGCAGCAATCACTGGTAAAAAATTTGCACCAAAACGATTCACATTGACAATGACATATATCCTCAGCCTCCAACAATAGCAAACCTGAAAAAAACATCAACCTACACAGCAGAAAATGCTCACAGACCCTCTAATAAACATGTAACTTGTGGAATTTAGGGCGCCCAGGACTTTTTACTAGTCCATCTGAACACCAAATTGTGTTTTCAAGGAAAGGGCTGCTACGATGAGCACTTGTGAGGAAGAACTAAAAACTTTGACTAATTATTGGGCTTTGCAAGGTTAATTACATTCAGTTTCAAAGATATTCAAAGTTGCATTGCTGAGGAAAATGTTTGGATCAGATCAGATCATGTAAGAGCAGGCTGACAATAGCTTTCCCTTCTTTCATTGTGAGAAGCAGCTCATTGGTCACTGCCAAGACCATAAGAGGCTTCAATATTTTCATAATTTCTGGGTGTATTGATGATTTGATATATTGCTTATGCAAAGTGCCTATGTGGGTGGTTCTTTGCCAGAAAAAGCTGTAAAGTGATGCCGACTGCCAGATGTCTAGCTCTGCAAGACTAATATCTGGATTAAAGCGCATGAAGATGTAGAAATATCTTCTTCTGGCTTGCATGTTATTAACATGGGTGCTAAAGTGTTCTCCTCATAATACTATATTACTTTCCCAATTCATTGTCATGGATTAATTTAATTAAAGTGCTGTCATGTACTTTACATAGTAAGAACAATAAAATTTTCAAATTGTAATCTTTATTAATTTTTTTGCATTGCTGAATAGTGCAGATTAAGTTCTATCCAGTCAGATCCAGCAGAGGCTGGTTAGATTGATGTAAACAATGTGCTGTTTTCCAGAGATGGTTCAACACTCAGACACAGTGAAGCCGTGTGTGGTGCGACTGGAGAAGATCACCAGTCAGAGAGGTGTGAATGAAATGCTTAAAATGGGTTTAAGAGGTTCTAGAGCAGCTTCAGAATAATGCTTTATGATCTCAGTCGCTTCTGGTGGCAAATGTCTGTTGGTCTGAACTTTCTTCCTTTGCTTCCACCCTAAATGCTCAAGAAAGTTGATCCATTGCATTAAAAATTACAAATGTAAATGCTCTGTTTGTCTGGGCTCAAAGTAATGTTAAATGTTGCTATCTGTGCTCTTTGTTTATACACCTCAAAATAGATAAATTCATATTTGATTGTTCAATTTAACTATTTAAAACATGTTATTTTTCTACAGAAATGGACTTAAGGAGAGATGGAGCCGATGATGATATCTGGACTAGTAGTACGATACACGAGGTAATAAAAGCTGGAAAACAACTGTGGCCAAGAATTTTTTTTTTTTTATGTTTTTAGATTTGTTTTTAACCAAGGAATTCATTCCTGTTTGTCAATAGATACTGAGAAAATGCCAATAAAATGTTTATATACTAATACAACCATATATATATATTTCAGTGTATTCAGTGTTTAATTTAAAGGGGTCATATGACGTTGCTAAAAAGAACATTATTTGGTGTAATGCACTGCGTTTATGTGGTTTAAGGTAAAAAAAACACATTATTTTCCACATAATGTACATTATTGTTTCTCCTCTGTGCCCCGCCTTGAAGCACGTCGATTTTTACAAAGCTCATTGGTCTGAAAAGCGAGGTGTGCTCTGATTGGCCAGCTATCCAGTGCGTTATGATTGGCCGAATACCTCAAGTGTGTGACGGAAATGTTACACCCCATACCATATTGTGATGCTGTGTCCCGGCGCGACGAGGCAAAACCAGTAAACCCCATTATAAACGAGGCATTTGTTGCATCCAGTGGGGACATAATTACTGATTATAATGACTTATACTGTCTTTTTACGTGTTGCGTATCGCGCCGCGTAAACATAAAACCATGTCTGCATTTGTGATCGGAGAAACGACAAACAACAGGCACTATTCTACACTGCTCAAAACTCGCGTTTGAATCGTCAGTGGCAAATTCTTTAAATATGAAAACGTACTTACAGGCTGTGAGTCAGAAGCGCCAGACTGTCCTTTCAAAGTTGGAATTGCCCCACTTTATAGAAACAGACACCGGCATTGTAGGCTATACTCTCCCAGGAAACAGTCCTTGTCCTCCATAAAATGCGCTGCACACATCTGAATATTTGGGTTGAACTGTTCTGGAACAGTGTTGTAAATACAACTTAACCACTGATTTCTAGTTGTGTCCTCTTTTGGAAGACCAAACAAAGTAGTTTCGCTTTCACAACAAAACACAGCGTCTCCACGACATGGCGGCATCTGAAGCAACAATACTACAGCGAGAATCAAAGTTATGCCTTCTTTCTTTGCGTGAACATTTGGGCGGCGTTATACAAATATTCCCACATCGTGACATAGACATGTGGGGGCATGTTAGAACGAGCCGTTTTAGGTAGGCGTGGTTGACTCTTAAATTTTATAAAGAATATCTCTTTGGATTTGAGACTTTAGTCTTTGCAACTTTACAGATCTTCTTTATGCACCAAGAGCTTGTAACACTCCAAAGAGAAAGGAAAACTTGAAATCGCATCATATGACCCCCTTAATATATATATATATTTCTAATATGCTGATTTAGTGCTAAAGAAACATTTCTTATTATTAATAGTGAAAAACGGTTGTGCTGCTTTATATTTTTGTGATACTATTTTTTTCAGGATTCTTTGATAGAAAGCCTAAAATAACATAACTTATTTCAAATAGAAATCTTTTGTAACAATTCTTAATTTTTGGTCTATTTGATATGCCCTTGCTGAATAAAAGTAACAAATGGTTATTGGCAATACTTATAATCTGGCCTGGTCAACATATCAGTCTAACTAATTATAAGGTCAGGATTTTGGCAATGAATACTTTTGCTGAAAACTATTTCACATTGTATTGAGATGATGATGCAAACTAAGGCTGATTAGATCAAATAGTTATCACAGGAAAAAAATCACTGGCACACACACACGCACAAACACTGACAAACCAACCATATCATCACACTAACCTCTCTTGATTTAGCATCTTTCTTTCCTTTTCTACAAATCTGCAATCTGGCACCCTGATACTGATTACTTCAATGTAGGAGTCATGTGACTGCGTACGTGTGTAATTTGTGTGCATATGTATGGGTCTATAGGGCTCCGTTAGGGGAATTTATGGTTGGGAGAGCAGCTTACGGCAGAAACCACAGGAACGTACAGTCTTTCAGGCTGGTACAGGCACCTGGAGCAAACCGGTGAACCCAGACAAGGACAGCAAACCAGAGGTGGTATGTACCTGCCCAGGTCAAGATTCAGTGCTCTGTCTGGCTTATCGCAGGTGTAGAGGGTCTGCCTCAGTTTTGTCCCTTTCACGCTCTCTGTATTACATTGAGCTGTTTTCATAAGCGATGGATGCCGCTTTATGAATGTGTGCATGAGTCCTGTGGTTTCCTTTCCGGATGGTAGATTACTCTTTAGAGTCTTCATTTTCATCTGATGTTCCACCTGTAGCTATGTGTCCATGTCTGTTTTTCCTCTGTAATTGCATTGCTAACGTTCTGCATCTGCTTCTCCATGGTGTTTTTTATTATTATGCTGCTTTAGAGCAATATGTATTGTGATAAGTGCTTTACGAATAAATAAAGATTTATTGTTTGCCGTGTCATGCATGTTGTACTGATACACTAACATACATGATAAAAATGCTTGTGTAAAAAAAAAACATATTTTTGTGGTAATATTTACAAATGATTGAAGTTAATCACTTTAAGCTTCAACAAGACTTTCTCAGTAGTTAGCATTGTGAAAGCTAGCAAAGACATCAGCAGGAGACTTCATTAAAATTGGGTTTTATGTGTGTGTGGTTCCCACGTGAAATGTTTACTGTTTAATTCAAAAGCATTCACTTTAGATTTTGTATTCTTTCTTTGTGTATGTTTGTTTCTCACTAATGTAGGTTAAGAACAATGCTCGTTCATCTGCATCAAATTCGACACCAAGCCCCAGATCTGGAAAGCGAGAACAAGCGTACCACGTAAGTCTTAAAGGTTTCTAAACCTCTTTAATCTCACTGCAAACCTGACCGTTTGTGTATGTTTGTTTGTTTCTCACTAATCTAGGACATCCATGTTATGAATGTAGCAGTTAGTATTGACTGCCTGTCTCTCTCTGCAGGATGGAAAAGGTTATGCCATTGGAGAGCTTGTGTGGGGAAAAGTAAAGGGCTTCTCTTGGTGGCCTGGACTGGTGGTGGTGTGGAAGGGCAGGGTGCTTCCTGTGTCTATGAGGCGCGTGGAGTGGTTTGGAGATGGCATGTTTTCAGAGGTTAGGAGTTTTTACTTGCTTTCTTTGTCCTGATTCTCATCTGAGAGATACTTTCCCCCTTATTCTTCAAAGGATTCGTTTCATGTTAAAGCATGTTTCTCTTGTTGATCTTAGATTCATACAGAGGGACTGCTGCCTTTCGCTGCGTTTGCAAAGTGCTTTTGTAGTAAATCCTATGAAGGTCTGCCTACCTACAGGAATGCCATCTACCAAATCCTAGAGGTACAGTGGATAAGATACTTGACCGTTCTTTTGAAAACTAGGGTTGGCGATCAAGGACCAGTTCTTATTTTATTCTTATTTTAATATTGCATTATATTGTTGTGTCATTGTGTAGTTGGCAGCGGAGCGTTGTGGGAAGAATTTCCCCCCTTTGGAGAAGAAAGGGGAAGAGGCGAAGGCCATGCTGGATTGGGCATTTGGAGGCTTCCAGCCCATGGGTCCTGATGGATTTTTGCCTCCTGTGGGTATGTCAAAAAACTAAAAAATATCTGTAATTTAAAAAAAACAGTTGGTGATTTGACAGCAATTTTGAAGTTCATAATAACAGAGAGTACCAGAGTGACTCCACATTGATCCGGAAATTAGGTCTATACACAGACATGTCAAAAATAGCAAAAGCTCTTTAATGAAGAAAATCTTGATCTGGACTGATTAACAACAGTGCCCTCTGCTTTTCCATTTCACAGACAGCTCTACTAGTAAAACTGAGTCGGATTCTTCGGTGTGTGATTATCAGCCTCCAGCCAAGAGGAAGTATGTCAACAAGAACAGACAGTCAGCTCAGGATTACACCAGAGGTGAGATACATTAATCTGCGTAAAGGCCAGAGATTTGCCGTAATGATCATAAAACACTGAACTGTAGATTATTGTTTTAGGTTTTTACATATTTGATCATAAAACACTGAACTGTAGATTATTGTTTTAGGTTTTTACATATTTTTTTGTAAGAAAACATACCCCTATGCTTTGTTGTCCTCTTTTCAGATCAAATGGTCTATGAGGTAACCGTTAAAGGCAGAAACATTGAAGGTAAGTCACTTAAAATTCATAATTTGAGTTTATTAATGAAATTATTCTAGGGCTTAACAATAATTGAAATTCCTGTTTTTTTCCCTGCTGGGCCAATCAGAAAACCTGAAGATATTAGGAAATGTTAAAATTGTAGCCTGAAAGTCCCAGCCTGGAAAAATTAAGGACATTTATAAAAGGTCATGGTAAAATTGTGGAAATATGGTTATGCTTGGCTCTGAAATATTTAAATAATTTTTAAATAAAATGATAATGTAGAAAAAAAAATAGGAAAGGGCATGTAGATTCATTGTCATCACATGAAATCACACCTTTCATTTGATCATTTTACTTTTAGCAACTTATTTTTGCCGTAAGGACATTCTCATTGCTCAGTCATGTATTTTAATTCATTACAAGGTAATTATTCTCTTTCCCCAGATTTCTGCCTGTCCTGTGGAACTGCCAACATTGAAATTGTCCATCCTCTTTTTGTGGGAAGCCTTTGTTTTAAGTGCAAGGTCTGAATCGATTCTTGTGTCTTAAATCATCAAATTAATATGCTACTTACTATTTGGTGGCCAGAGTGTAATTTTTTTGAATGTGCTTGTTTTGTATTTGTGTAGGAGAACTTTACAGAAACACTGTACAGGTATGATGATGATGGCTATCAGTCATACTGCACTGTGTGCTGCGCCGGACAAGAGGTCATTCTCTGTGGAAATGCCAGCTGCTGCAGGTTTGAACTCAAACTTATGCAAACTTAAACCTTAATGTGATGTTAACCATCATAACAGGTTGTTTTACAGTCTTTCTTTTTTTCCCCACTGTTTAGGTGTTTCTGTAAAGAATGTTTGAATATGCTGGTGGGACCAGCGACGTTTGATAAGCTGAAGGAGGTTGACCCATGGAGCTGTTACATTTGCCTGCCCTCTAAGTGCTACGGCGTGCTCAAGCTCAGGCCTGACTGGAGTGTTCGTGTCCAGGAGTATTTCGCCAATAACAGTGCCTTTGAATTTGTGAGTGTCATTCTTATACTCCAATATATCTACCTGATCATATTCAGATTTTTTTAAAATATACACTACCATTTAAAAGTTTGGGTTTAATGGGACTTTTTTATTTATTTATGAAAGACGACTCTTCTGCTGATCAAATCTGCATTTATTTACTTATAAATACAATAAAAACAATATTATTGTTAAGTAATGCTATTGCATTTTTAAATAACCATTTTATGTTTGAATGTATTTCTGTTTTAATATTGAATGTATTCGGTTTGAATTCCTTTGTTAAAGCTGTATTTTCATCAGCAATTACTCCAGTTATCTGTGTCACATAATGCTTCAAAAATCATTATAAGATGCTGATTACGCAAGTATCGAAAAACCAGAATGATGTTTTAATATGTTTTTGTCCTTATTTTAGGAGCCACACCGAGTGTATCCTTCTATTCCAGCTCATAAGCGTCGTCCAATCAGAGTCCTCTCCCTGTTTGATGGGATTGCAACAGGTATGCTCATTTGTTTTGATTGAATATTAAGGGAATATTTCCAACACCCCACACCCCCCCCCATTTTTTTTTTCATGTTTCATGATGTCAGGAATCAGGATAGTTTTCAATAATTAATTTTTGTGTTCCCCAAAATAACATAAGTCATACAGGTGTGGAACAAGATGAGGTGGCGTAAATATTAAGAGAATTGTAATTGTTGGCAGAACTATTCATTTAAATCAGTTTGAATCAAAGGAAATACTGAAACAATGGCATTTATTATTTTGTCTTCATTTACCTTGAAGTTTGTGCAATAGCAGTGAATTATACCAGGGTGATTTTTGTTTTTTTCCCCCATACTTCCATACATATTTATTTATTTTTATTTTTTTGTAGGCTATCTGGTCTTAAGAGACTTGGGCTTTAAGGTGGAGCGCTACATTGCCTCTGAGATCTGTGAAGACTCCATTGCTGTTGGGATGATCAAACATGAGGGCCAGATTGAATATGTGAAAGATGTGCGCACCATCACAAGGAAACATGTACGTATTGAGCTTTTTCGCAAGAAATATTAATTTACTGCACAGACATTCTTCAAGTAGTATACAGATTTTAACAGTTAACTAGATTTAATGGCTAAACATTGCTATTTTATATACAGTCTTTCTAATATCTGTAAGAACCCTGTTGAAAAAAAAAACCCCAGCATATCCTGGTTAGGTATGTTTTGAAGCATGGCTGCTGGTTTGAGCTGGTTTAAGCTGATCCTGAGCAGGAGCAGCCATGCTTCAAAATATACCTAACCAGCATATGCTGGTTTTTTTCAACAGGGAACCAGGGCAAGTCACTGTGGAAAGAACATTTTTAAACTTCCCTTTTGTCATACCATTTTGTAGCTGGCCGAGTGGGGGCCATTTGACCTCCTGATTGGTGGAAGTCCATGTAATGACCTGTCCATGGTGAATCCAGCCAGAAAAGGTCTCTTTGGTAAGATATTTATAATTTTCTTGTACTTTATGCTACCTATTCAATCGAATTGTGAAGATTTAGGAAGATCTGAGCATGGTCTTTAATATTGGAAGAGATTTATGTAACGTTTCCAAAAGTAATATTTCAGAGTTCTCATGTTCTTTCAGAAGGCACAGGTCGACTGTTCTTTGAATATTACCGCATGTTAACCATGATGAGGCCGAGAGAGGATGACGATCGCCCCTTTTTCTGGCTCTTTGAGAATGTAGTAGCCATGAGTGCCCACGACAAGGCTGATATCTGTCGTTTCCTGGAGGTAAAAATACTTTCTCTTTATTTTTCCCACCAGGCTAGAGGTGCGGTCACATTAGCAGACATTTTGCAAACATTAGCACATCTCACACAAAACAGAAGTCACTTATCATTATTACACATTATGTTGAACCTGATGCAATCTTTGCATAGGAAAATCTTTTGCCAAAAGTGGCCAAACAATGCTAAATGTGAAAGCACCTTTATACATGATGTTTACCAATGGTGTTCCCATCTTACTCACATGAGCATGTTATTGTTGTCGTTGTTGTAGATGGTTATGAATTATCGTGCTTTTATCTATTTCCAGTGTAATCCTGTGATGATTGATGCTGTGAAAGTAAGCCCAGCCCACAGGGCTCGCTACTTCTGGGGAAATTTACCTGGAATGAACCGGTATAAATGCAGGGACACAAACAATCACACATATCTGTAAACATAAAGTGTAACTTCATGGACCTGTATGCATGTTCAGTAATAAATGTATGCACAGATTAATGTGAATTTGTGTTTATAGACCACTTGCGACTTCACTCACTGATAAAGTAGAACTGCAGGACTGCCTGGAGGTCGGACGAACTGCAATGGTAAACAGGTTTATTGTACCTTCTGACAGAAAAGTTGATATTTCAAAAAATGAAATAAAAGAATTGCACAAATATACATTTTGATTTGTAGTTTTAGTTTACAGCAGTCCTAGAAAATATACATGATTGTCAGGACTCTAGGCTCAACTAAGTTATATGGTAGAATGTCAAAAACAATTACATCTTATTTCTTCCTTAACAAAAATTATTTGACAAATACATTTTTTTACTGTATCATCAGTTCAACAAAGTTCGCACTATCACCACCAAGTCCAACTCCATCAAACAAGGGAAGATGGGGCCTCTGCCAGTCACCATGAATGGAAAAGAGGACTATCTTTGGTGCACTGAAATGGAGAGGTCAGATAAATTTATATTAACTAAATTTTACTCAGTTTTGCTATATCAGGTCTGCACTTTGCATGTAGTAATTCAGTGGGTTTGTTTAAAAAGCGGCATAATGTGGCTCTAAACAAAATTACTGACATTTTATTTATTTATGTATTTTTTTCAGAATATTTGGGTTTCCAAAGCATTATACAGATGTGAATAATATGGGGCGAGGACAGAGGCAGAAGGTGCTTGGGCGGTCCTGGAGCGTTCCCGTGATCCGACACCTCTTTGCCCCTCTAAAGGATTACTTTGCTTGCGAGTAAAGCCACCGTCTGGTCCAGGCAGCACTGGCACTGGAGGTCCAAATTAAGTCTCTCAGATGAATGAATTTGATTTTTTTTTTTCTCTCCCTGCAGATTCTGACCTCACAGAAAATTGTCAAATTGTAATGTTGCATTTGTTCTTAAGTTCAGAAAGCGTGTTATCCTGATGATTTATCCTTGGAATGCACAGCCACTTTTGGATTGGATTTTCTTAAGTACTGTCATTTTTAACTTGTGTACTTTTAAACTGATTTTAATGCTGTAGAGAGCCACACAATACTCCACCCACTACCTCAGTGCCATTCTTTGATTTGTTCATTGTCTGGAGGAATGCCGCTTTATGCCTATTTATAATTTAATAAGTTAATATTAGTTTGGTTTAGTTTATCAGTTTTAAATTTATGTCAGCTTTTTATATCACACTTTTACATTAAATCTTTTCCGTGTTTTAGGAATAAACATGTCCTGTTGTTAAATATTGCATTTCAGAATTTTTTAAATGATGGTAATGTTGTCATTCCACGGCACGTTTTATAATACAGGATGTTTGGCCATCATGACAACTGTACTAAGTCAGCATTTTTTAGGAGCATCTATTTAACTGAAATAAATGCTAATATAGATGACTTGGGTTTCAGTTAAACTGCGTTTTATTTATAGGAATACATGCAATCTTGTAGTGCTCCATGTATTTAGAAGCACAAATGTTGTCTGTGCCATTAAATTTTACTCAAAGCCTTGGGCTGATGATAGATTTGAGTTGACCGTAGCCTTCCAAAGCTTTACCATTTTTTTTTTTTTTAATTTTTACTTTTTTTAAGTTGTAATCTTTATCATTCTTAATCAATTTGAAGAGCAACACTGCAGTTTTAAGACAATTTTTTGCCTTGAGCTAGCATTTTAGTCCACACTATCATCATTTTACAAGAAACAGGTCATCAACCCTTAGGATTAAGTATTTCGTTTTTCATTTTGCCCCATTTGTTACCTGTACGCACTTCTGATTTTAAACTGTTGGCTGAAACTGGTCACTGCAGCATTCATTTGTGTTGTTTTTGGTGAGGATTTAGCATACTACAATATCTAAGTGAGAGTTAACTGAAGCCTTTTTGTAGAACATGATGCAATGTGATCAAGGGCTTAAACTCTGAATAAGTGCCTACAAACTGATAGGCTATTTTTTTATGTAGAAAAAATTGTGAACTGATTGTAATTGGCATGACTTCAGACTACTTTAAAGGGAATCATTTTGGTTACTTTGTCTAGTGCAAGTGTCTAAATGATATCTTACCTTTGAAATGTCTCCGATTACATTTCGTTATCAATTGTGGTCTACTGTCAGTGTGAAATTAGGTGCTTCAGAATGTGTGTATAAAATACTATGCGTTTTCTTTTTAGTTGTTTAGCATGTGTCTTTTTGTAGCATTATGTGGATCATGGTGATTTGTGGTTCGGACTGTCACAGGTCAAAGCTAGTGTGACCATACATCCTCTTTTTCCCGGACATATTCTGGCATGGATTTCTATCAATCGAATATATACTATACCTGCATGCTATCGGTCAGATTTCTTTTCAGTCGTTACCTTCAAGTATAAAAACAATAGGAAAACAAATCCATTTTAGGTCATTTAGAAATCCCCATCCAGGACATGTCTGGGGGGAAAAGAGGACATATGGTCACCCAAATCAAAGCTGTTTTCTAAAACTTGATACCAACTTATTCAAACTAAGCTTGATTAAACCAGTTTTAGTGAGGCATGGGCCAGCTTGAGGTGTGTGTGTGCTTTGGTGAAATATCATTAACTGGATTACATGTCTTGATGCCTTTTGGATGTCTATGTCTTGTAGCAAAGCTTTAGAAATTCCCAGTAAGAACTGTGTTGGTGCTGTGTTACATGTGATTTTTGTAAAATGATGGTTCATGTGTAATTTGGAGGTGCAGTATTGTGTTATAAAGAATAACTTCCTCAGGTCTTTTCAACACCAGCAGGCCTCATAGGACCGTGATCTTTAATGTCACATTTGATTATTTTTATTCAATTCTTTGTGAACAGAATATACTATATATTTGTACCCTTGAAATTGCCCTTAATACCTCTTCTTTTTTTCCTGTTGAATGGGTCATTCAAAACCCTGATGTGTTTTGGTGCTAAATGATATGCTAATGATGTATGTAGATCTAGAATGTTTTCCCTGAACTGATGATTGACAAGACTGGTTTTGTTTTAATCTTTTGATATTTGATATAGTCTGCTTACCTAGCTTTAATATTCCATGCTTGTACTAACATCAGTAAAGAAAAATTAATTGCACCAACCTTGTTTTATCTGTCTTTTTTTCAATTAATATGTTAATTTAAGTGTTTTATCAACCCACAAAACTAAACATTCAGTCCTTCAGACCAGTGTGTCAGATTAATGCTTGCTTTGACTTAATATCTTAATTTTTTTTATCCCTGGTTTAGTAATGTGCTAAGAAGCGTGAGATGAACTACTCCAATACATTAAAATTTAGTTTAATAAAAATAATAATTAATAGATGAGATAAGGTAATAGAATAGGTAACTCAATGATAGAAACATAACCAACAGGAAATTGAAAATAACATGTACATTATACATACACACATAAGTGTGTGTGTGAGTGATTTAGATTAGTAAAATACAGCCTACATACCATAATTATTTTTTTTTCATTGTATTTTTATGGTATTACATTTACCAAAACTGTTGATTTCTTTCAACTTTAGTTTTTGGTTTTATGCGTTTAATGGTGACTTTAATTTAGTTGATTATTACTTTTATTTTGACAAATGGAAGTAGTTAGCAAAATGTTTATTTCCAATAGGCGAATGCTGACTTTTATTTTGACATCTGTGATTAGTTAGTAAGCGTCTGCTGTGGTTTCAGGCTTACAGCGCTTTCCCCAGGCCAGCCTGCTGCAGAAGCGGCACTTTACGAACGACACGCCGCTGAGCTGCAGCCCCGTTCACTCACATCCAGAACCAAATGTAAGAGAAAGGCGTTGATTTGATCTGTGACACGCACAACAGAAACACTTTACAGAAAATCAATACTTTATTGATAGTGTTGGTCATTTGGACGATAAATGTCATTTAATGTTATGATTTAAATGTTCAGCAGTTAAAACGACAACTGTTAAAACGTAATAACGTAGAGCATAAACTGTTTATATGAATAACGTTGCCCTGTTAAAAATTCTGACAGATTAACGTTAGTTGAGCGGAGTGTTAAATCTGAAGCCTAAAAAGTTAACAAGAAACACGCTTTTTCAAATAAAGATCAGATTTTTATCCCGTAAGTAATGTACTCGATTTTGACCGTAAACTCTAAGATGGATGTAAATATACAGCCACATTAAAGTGACTGATTAAATAGGAAGTAGATGATGATGTAGCTGGGCTGAAGGGTGTGAATGTGTGTTTAAGGAAATGAGGCTTTAACTATTTTCCCACAACCTCTCTGTCCAGCAGCTTCAGCGGAAAAGTGTCACCATCCGCTTCAAATCATCGGTTTTGTCCCAGCCATGGCTGCTGTGAACGTGTACTCGACTTCAGTGACAAGTGAAAACCTCAGCCGCCATGACATGCTCACATGGATAAACGAGTCTTTACAGATGAGCCATGCCAAGATCGAGCAACTGTGCTCAGGTCAGTGACCAGCTGTCTGGTCCTTTCATTTCACACACCCAACTTGAGCATCATTCAATTACTGACAGAGTTACGTGAGATAGACGTAAAGCCTAGTTTGCATTTTGACCATAAAGATTACATATAATAATGGGTCATAGATTGACTTTTTCTTTACTTTTTCATTTGCATGCTGAATTTGTCGCTGTCTGAGTTTGTGAGGGAATGGACACAGATAGTACAGTGCAGGGGGGTGAAAGGGGCTTTTGTTTGGGTTGGCCTTTTTCTCTTTTAATTCTGAAATATTTTGTTATTTACTGACTATGTCTTTAATAATGTGTTTTAAGGTGCTGCTTACTGTCAATTCATGGACATGCTGTTCCCGTCATGTATTCCACTGAAGAAAGTCAAATTCCAGGCCAAACTTGAGCACGAATACATCCATAACTTCAAACTCCTTCAAGCCAGCTTCAAAAAGATGGGAGTTAGCAAAGTATGTCAACCAGTTAAATTCATTAGCATACAAATTATGCATTCCATTTTGCTACACACAATATATTCATAATGTACAATATGTGAAGTGGAACTACTTTGTAACATTTTACGTCTCTGTGCAGATTATTCCTGTTGACAAGCTTGTGAAGGGCAAGTTCCAGGATAACTTTGAGTTTGTGCAATGGTTTAAGAAGTTCTTCGATGCAAATTATGATGGGAAAGAATATGATCCGGTGGCAGCTCGACAGGGACAAGAAATGCCCACCAATCAGAGTCCAGCAGCAGCTACAGCTAACAAACCAAAGAAACCCAGCTCGGGTAAGGAGAAAGACCAACCCAGGAAGTTCTCAGTACCATTTCAGCCTTTTTTAGGCTTATCCTTATAGTTAAAATGGCACACATAAATGTCCAAATAATATTAAATGAATGTTAAATATTCAATTAATTGTAATAAATAATTATCAACTTATCAGTGTTTTTTGGTTCATATATTCCTAGTTCATATAGAGACTAGCGTTATTGTCGGAAGCTAGCTGTCTTAATGCTAACAGGTGCATGACAGCTGCAGCTGTTATGGATTTTGAGGCCAAAATATGTGGGTGTGACCCAGTCACTCACCAGTGGGCCAGTCCTACATGCTTTAGCTGCTTTTACATGTGTGAGAATAACTGAGCCTTTCAATGCCTGTGCATGGATTTCTGTTCGCTTCAGACACGGGCATCACACCTGCAGTCAAGCCAATGGCCCCTGTTGGTAAGATATTGAGAACTGTGAGTTTTAGTTCAAGCACATTGTCTACAAGGTTGCTTCACCTGGGTATTTTTCCTCACATAATGGTGATTCCTACATTTCCAAGTACTGCACATTTTAAAAGAACAGTCATGCAGGTCTCTTTTGGGTCTATGGCATTTGTTGGTGGAATTATTCTAAAACAACTATAATTTTTCTTTACGTTCCTTTTTTTATTATTTCAGCTTCAATATATGAAATAAAACCTTTTAATTTATTCAGTTGGTCAGTTTGAGGCTAGAATTGACCCTTATCCTCGAGGCAGGTTGATGAGGATGTATAACAAGGTGATGGATGTGTTCTTGATGTTCAGCTCCACAGCGTTCAGCCACAACACCTAAATCTGCACCAAAAACAGCTCCAGCTGCAACGCGAGGCACAGCAACAGGCGGCGGTGATGAAGAGAAGGGAGCACTCACTCAGATGGTAAGACTTTACAAAAAACAGTACATGAGAAGGATAAATGCATTTACATTTTACAATTAAATTTTTTTGGATAGTTGTTTTTTTAATTATATTCAATTTCATATTATATAAAATAATATAATATAATATAATAATTTTTTTTTTTTTTATATTTCCATAAATAATATTTGTATTAATATATTTTAATAATAATAATAGTTATTAGTACTGGTAGCGATAGTTGGGTCAATATCACTGTAGGGTGCCTTTTGGTGTCCTGTACATAAATAACTAATTTGCCATGATAACTTAAAATAAAAATGACTATGAAAGGGTGTGTTATATTAAGCTAAGTTTTTATATTCATAACAAAAGTATTACTTGGCTCTTTAGATACATTTTCTTGATTTTTTTTGTTTGTTTTGTTTTGATTTGTGTAAGAGGATGCGTGTTATTTTGCTATGTCCCATGCACTGCTCATTAAATTTGAATGATAGTAGAAATATCGTCAAATCATAAAATAAATTTTAAAAAAATCTATTTTTAATATTGTTAAATAAGAGATTACTCAATTTGAGTGTATTGATCATTTGGTACTAAAAACTATATTTTTATTTAATAAAAAAATAAGAGTTTGTCCATGTCCCTTGAATGGTTGTCCACTATTGGAGAATCCGCCCCTTTAAGAAAAGGCCATCCCCTTTAGTGACATCAGGACAACAGATTATTTTCTCTTCAGTGGCAGGAATTTCATTGGCTGAGGTTAGTAAGTTGGTGACTTTTCAATTGACAAATTTTCTTTGAGTTTGCTGAACATGTCCACCCTGACAGGCATAAAATATGCCAGAAGTGATTTGAATACAGTATTTTCAAAATATGTAAGTTTAATTATACCAAATTCTCTTCAACAACCAGACTAAATATTTAGCTAGTCACAGTTTGTTGTAAGCTAATATGCTAATTGAAGCTCAAAATGTCCACCCTGTCGGCCACTTAGACTCGATAGAGTGGACGTAAACATGACAGGGTGGACATGTTATGGTTTATGCTTCAAATAATGACCCATAATTATCTAAAAAAATAATGTGTGGGAGCTCGGCAAATATGTTTCTATAATACTTGAGTGTCTACTATTTATGATATGACATAAAGCAAATGGGAAATTAAAACCAAAATGTGAGTAGTGTGAGGGTTGAAAGGCACTCTATGGTGATATTGACCCAGTTAGTAGTTATTTATTGTTGTTGTTGCCGCCATCATTATCATTATTAATATTATATAAAATTAGTTGTCTTTTTTTTTTTTTTGCTCATCTGGGCAGATAAACGACCTGAAGGCCACTATTGCTGACATGGAAAAGGAAAGGGATTTCTACTTTGGCAAACTGAGAAACATCGAGCTCATCTGCCAAGAGAAAGAGGGTGAGGGTGATCCAGAACTGCAAAGGATTGTGGATATCCTGTACGCCACAGATGTAAGTGTAAATCGTATTGTTTAAAGCAAGTCTCATACTAAACTGTCTTCAGCCCGCTGAGTTCTGTGGTTTTCTGTCTTTCAACAGGAAGGTTTTGTAAATCCAGAAGATGAGGTGGGAGAACCAGAGGAGTTTTGACCAATCCAGGGGTGACTGTTTTTTAAAAAATGACCCTGCTGGACACACAAATGTACATACTGGCTGATTCCTGCTGTTGTGCTGCACTTGCCTTTGGTCCATCATTTTGGACTTTGACTTTTGAATGTCCTTTTTATTCAGGGAAGTTCTATACCTTGAATTATCAGCTTTTTTTATTGACCATCAAAACAAAATTATTTTTGTGAATGAAAAATAAAGTACTTCTCAAAGGCTGTTTGTATAAAGCAGTCCACTGAGTTCTGACTCACCAGTGACTAAACATACCCAAGATATTTTATTCAAACATGAGAAAGCTTTTCTGATCCATTCATTATGTAGTAAAAAAAACAAAACATACAGCAGTCAGGTATGCTTTGTTGATATCTAGTTTCTGATCAGTACATTTGACTGCTAGTTGACCAGTTGTGAGTGAAGTTCACTTCCTCTAATAAGCTCTGAAGCAGGATGTGTGTCAACCTTTTGCATTTCCCTTTCACAAGCACATGAGACCATGAGGAACCACTTGACAGTCATGAGAGGCTTTGGGTTTGTCTTTACTGGCCAAAGCTGTTGAGCTGCAAATACCACCATCTTCAGGCAGCTTTTGATGCAAAATCGGAGAAAGTTAGGCCGTTTTTTTTGTTTCATGCTTTATTTTACATTCAGCATCCTGCTTTTGCTATGTATTAAAACCATATACTGCAAAAAAAGTACTTAATTTGTGACTTTTGCAAACAAGCAAAATGTGTTGTAAATCAGTCCACATTTTATAATTAGGAAGCAGTCATTTTTCCCATGGTTTTGACTTTCTGGGCATTTGAGAAACCGTGGGCTGGTCATGACAAGGTTTGATGTCCAGCTTTTGGAGTCCAGGAACCTCCTCCCCTGCTTGAATCATGCGGAACACCTCTGGAAAAGAGAGGGACGGCGGCTCCGCGATCGCATCTGCGGCATCTGCCTCCTTCTCTCGAGCCGCCTCCACATCATTCTGCTGCTCCATCGGTGTATTTGCCGATCGCCACAGCTCTATTTAAGACAATTCAAAGCCATTTATAATTTAACTCAGGTCGCTCCTCGGAGATTTAGTGATCAAATGTGATGTACCTGTTGCTGAAGAAAACTTTCCAGTAGCCTAAATTGTGTTTATGCTATTGTGCAAAAAATGTTTCACTTCCAAAATTGCAGGATTAAGCCCTTTGATGCAGCGTTACATTTTACTTAAATTGCTAGCACGTGCTTATTTATTAAATCTAAATACGTTATTATTATTAGGAAAAGCTCAATTTGAAGGAATCCTGCCTTCTGCCACTCGACTTCCGGGTACATCTCCAACCCGTCCTCCAATCACTGATTTTAATATAAAAGTCCCTCAGTCAAACGCACTACAGGTCGATAAAACCGTTTTTATCTTTTGTATTTTACACACATTTTTACATATTATTCTAAATATTACTACTAAAAGTTCAGTGCACAAAGTTAAATGCGGTATTTTGTTTACTTATTGTTTTTATTTGTGTGTCGGATTCCTTTTCTGACTTTAAATCCAAAGAATGACTCAAACCATTTCAGCCTTTAAGTATGCGTCATGTTAAATTAGTAGTTATTATCCAGTATAATTCTTAAAAAATATAGCCTTATATATATATATATATGTATAGCAAGGGGGATAGGCTATATATATATTCTTATTGAGATTTCTGTACTTGTCATTTTTTTCATAATACAGGTGCATCTCAATAAATTAGGTTGAGATAGTGAATTGGTGGGTTTTTGTTAAATGTGAGCCAAAATCATCACAATTAAAAGAACTAAAGACTTAAACTACTTCAGTCTGTGTACATTGAATTTATTTAATACACAAGTTTCACAATTTGAGTTGAATTACTGAAATAAATGAACTTTTCCACGACATTCTAATTTATTGAGATGCACCTGTACGTTTTAAAAATTGGTGATACTGTGTTTGGCATGCATAAAGTATGGTGAATATATATATATTATTATATTATTATTATATTACGACTATAATATATATTTATATAGCCTGAATGCACTGTAAGTCGCTTTGGATAAAAGCGTCTGCTAAATGCATATATTATTATTATAAATTATATAAGCTTTTTTAGGCCTAATACATTTGTCCCAGATTATCAAATTCAGGCAGATTTTTTATTTTTTTGGCACAAAAACAGTAATAGGTGTGGCATGTCTCCTCTGGGTATAATATCTAAATTATTTCTTCTGGTGTGGTTAGAAAACATCTTTTAAATGTGAGCCAAAATCATCACAATTAAAAGAACTAAAGACTTAAACTACTTCAGTCTGTGTACATTGAATTTATTTAATACACAAGTTTCACAATTTGAGTTGAATTACTGAAATAAATGAACTTTTCCACGACATTCTAATTTATTGAGATGCACCTGTACGTTTTAAAAATTGGTGATACTGTGTTTGGCATGCATAAAGTATGGTGAATATATATATATTATTATATTATTATTATATTACGACTATAATATATATTTATATAGCCTGAATGCACTGTAAGTCGCTTTGGATAAAAGCGTCTGCTAAATGCATATATTATTATTATAAATTATATAAGCTTTTTTAGGCCTAATACATTTGTCCCAGATTATCAAATTCAGGCAGATTTTTTATTTTTTTGGCACAAAAACAGTAATAGGTGTGGCATGTCTCCTCTGGGTATAATATCTAAATTATTTCTTCTGGTGTGGTTAGAAAACATCTTAGGGATTTCAGAAAAGTCTAATGTGTTGATCTAATGTGTTAGATATCGAAATAAATCACTGTCATCTGAGTTCTTTAGCTAAACACAGCTAAAATGCTTCCTAGCAGTGGTCATCCTTCACAAAACTTAACATCTACCACAGTTTTATCATAGGTACAATGCAAAATGTTTCAATACAAGCAGTTCAATCAAATTGAATTTATGCAATATTTCAAACCTTTAACCCATGGGACAAAATCAGCCCACCGTCCACAACAGTTTAAAATCAGTCCTATTCCGTGCAAAAAAAATGCAGATTTGGCAACCCTGCATCCAACACGAGCTGCATCCAAAGTAATTTAAATTGTCTGCAAATTGATAGAGGCTCCCTGATGGGCGAAAATTATATTCAATATTATTATGTTTGTGGGAGCAGGTCAGAAATTCAGTGGGAGCGGGATAAACAAAACAGTCCCGTGCAGGGCTTTAATACAAAAACGCACACAATGAATGGCAACTGTAGAAAGCAAAAGCCGAATCCAGGACATTTTGGCTGATTTAGAAATCCTGGCTGGATGCATTTTTTAGGTCCAAAAAGAGGACATGTCCGGGGAAAAGAGGACGTATGGTCACCCTAGATTACTCGAATTCACCCGATATGCACTGACTTTCTAGGACACACACACATAGAGTTAGTTAGCATTTAGCATGGTCTGTGGCAGACTTTAATGTCAATGCAACAAAATTCAACAAAGTTAATGTTTAGTGATATAAATCGTAGAGAAAATATTGTCTTTTTGCTCTATTTCGCAAAGCCATGTTGTGCATCTTGAAAACAGTTTCTTCGTTCCTAAATGAAGCAGTTTTGAATGAATGGACTGAATAAATGACTCAGCGAATCAGTTATTAAGACAGGAGCTTACTGCCACCTGCTGGCAATTTTAGTCTCATTTTAAAGGCATTCTATTTTTTCTAGCATTTCTTATTTCTGCATTCTAAAGTTTATATTTAAAACATTCATCTCATAATATTATTTATGCAGTTTGTAAGTAGGCCTACAAATTATAATTAATTATACAATACACGCCTCTTAAAAAAACTGAAGCCACTTAGCCAATGTAACGTTTATTTTATTAGAAGTGTATCCCGTGTATTCAAACACATACATTAATGTCAGATATCCACTCACCCTAGAACTGCCCTGCCAAGTAACATCAAACAATAACTGGGAAATTACAAAATTGCAAAATCACTTTTTATAGGCAGATAATGGTTTGCTACATATTTTATCATTCCTTCAAATTGTTTTTTTAAAGAACTGTATTAGAAATGTTTACACATTTCCCATGTACTGTATTCCAAGCATAAAAGAAGAGGTTGTCTGAGATAGAACAGACCTGTGGGAGGATGGACTTGGCCCTCTACCTGTCACCCTACCTGTGTTTAAGTCAATCATTAATAAGTGAGCTCGGAAAGACACCCCTTATGCAATAGGAAGCCACCTTGGTATAGATTCATCATAACTCTTTATACACAGTTGCCTATTTATCTGAGCAACTGGGGTTTGTGCCTAAACTGATAACAGATAAGTGGGTATTCACTTAGTTTGACCCTGACATCTAAGGGCTCCTAATTGAAATTCTTGTGTTTCGTGTGTTTTTCTGATTTCACTGAACAATGGGGAAAGCAGACAACTGCACATTCATGGGAGGTGGGATTCCTCTGTCATCTGAGTTCTTTAAAGGTAAGAGATTTAACACCATGATGAAAGGTGCAAATGTATCAAGCTGAACGATGTCTGCTGTGTGCTGCTTGTCGAGCCTGTTACAATGCTGACAGTAATTTTCCATGGATAATGACAGAAATGACAGTATGTTGTGATGTAAGACATGGATGATTATATGCTGTACAATTTGTATATGCAGTGAAATAGACAACACAGATGAAACTGCTCACCAGTCAACAATATCCACTATTTGAGTCATCTAGCATTGTTTCCTAACTTTTACCTTAATTTTCACTTGTTTTCAGGATTATTACCTCAAAAGTGGTCTAAAATGTGGCTAGTTTGACCAGATGTATTATTTTAGATACATGAATTGGAACCAGGATTGGAAATTATGTCTGTTTGAGCTTCTTTTTAGCACATCAACAAAGGTTCTATATTGGCATTGATGGCTCCATGAAGAACTTTTAACATCCATGGAACCTTTCCATTGTATTAAAAGTTTTATTGTGGTGGAAATAGGTTCTTTAGATTATTAAAATATTCTTCTAAAAAGGATTCTTGTAAGAACTGTTAATTGAAAAAATATTTTGGGAACCTAAAATGGTTCTTATATTGCATTGCTGTAAAAATGCCCCAAAGCTTTATTTTAAAGAGTTTGGTTTTGTTTGTTCTGCTTATAGTGATCAAGAATGATCTCT